GTTGGATGGGGAGGAGTGATTGAAGTATGCTGGTGTTTTGAGCCGGTCGCTTGCTCCGGCTTGTGGCTTGGGTGGTAATACGCGATGAGTTACCGCAGGTTTGATATGGAAGGTGTCTTATGAGCTTCTATGGTGAGGATCAGATATCCCCACGCGCGAGAATGCATATGGGAGGAGATGGGGTACGGCCATATGAGGCGAGGTTCAAGATGTTGAGAGGGGAGGAATGGAATTGATGAGATTGATGAGATCCAGGAATTAATAGACGAACATGACTCTTTGCCGAGAGCTGCTCATCTGGATCTATGGAGTACGCGTACGCCCCGGAAAGGAGAACAAGGACCGCTCATCTAAAGAAACGCATGGGCATGAGGTTCTTTACTCAGGTCGCTTGACGGGGATGCATCTCGCCTAATTTAAATAAATGAATACTACACGTATGAACAGGACCCTGCATTTGCAAGGATCAGGCGCAAATAACTGATTTACTATTCGATCGAGTGAACCTTTTGCTTGTTTTTTTGTTTCTTTGCTCTGTTGGTTTGGGGTACATGTAGGCTTGGTTGGGTAGTTGATGCCTCTTGGTGGATGGTGAGACCACGTGGGGTGTAGGCTGGCATTCGTTGGCGGCTTCGTTGGTAGAGAGCTTTCTGGCCGGATGATGAGAAAAGATGTGATGAAGGGTGTTGATTCTTGATAGGTGTGTTGCTTTTACATGGGACAAGGGTTGGATGCTTGCGTGAATATATGCCTGGTGGTGAGTTGTATTGTTGGAATTGGTCACTGCCATACGGAGTGTCTGCTCATTGATATACATGTACTTGGACATGCTCTACCTATAACAAGACAACTCATCTATCAACTTGCAACATCAGTAGCAAATCTACAAACTGGTCAAGGCCGCTCAAAACACATGCCCTCCTCCATCCACCACGACATCCGCCCCGTTCATATAACTCCCCGCCCGGCTCAGCATCATCACCACCACGCCCGCCACCTCCTCCGGCAGCCCCATCCTCCCCATCGGGTTCCTCTCGTTCCAGATCCTCCGCGCCTCCGCCAGGCCCTCGCCCTCGTTGAGCACCGTGTCCAGGTACCCCGGGCTGATGCTGTTGACCGCGATGCCGTGCCGCGCCCACTCCGCCGCCAGCGAGCTCTTGAGCATCAGCAGCGCGCCCTTGCTCGCGTTGTAGGCCGCCTGCGGCTGCGGGAAGTTGACCCTGTGCGCCGAGATGGACGCCGTCAGGACGATGCGCCCGCCGGCGCCCCGGGCGACCATGGCGCGGGCGGCCGCGCGCGCGCAGATGAAGGCCCCCGTGGTGTTGACGTCGAGGACTTTCCGCCAGGTAGCGATGGGCGTGTCCAGGGCGTGCGACGAGTGCACGATGCCCGCGAGGCAGACGAGCATGTCCACCGAGCCCAGCGTCTCGACGGCTTCCGCGATGGCCGCGTTCACGGCGTCCTCGTCGGTCACGTCCACGGAGCGGACCTCGACGGAGGCCTGCGGGAACTCGGCTCGCAGCGCCTGCACGGCGTCTTGCGATGCGTCGGCGTTGAGGTCGAGCAGCATCAGGCCCGACGCCCCGTGCTGGAGGATCGCGCGCGAGACGACGAGGCCGATGCCGCCGGTGCCGCCGGTGATGACGGCGTTGCCGGCGATGCTGAAGCGGCCGGCGGCGGAGTCGCGGGGCCAGGGGTGGAGCGAGTCGGGGGCGGAGGGGGCGACGCCGGCGGAGAGGGTCATTTGGGGGATGATGCGGGAGGTGAGGGCGTTGCGCTCGGAGACGTGAGAGTCAGCCATTTTGATGGGATCTGAATGAAGCGTGTGAGACTGTGATTGTGGGTTTAATGAGAGAAGGTTGTGAGGTTGTGAGGAGTTGATGTGAGGGTGAGTGAGATTGCAGATCCGGCTAAATGAGAGGATCATCGTGTTAGTCAGGTAATAGGTGTGTAGAGATGCAGCCGATTCTTATCATATATCCACATACTCCGTACAGGCGGTCCTTATCATGTTCGGTCTTTGAAAGATGGTTCAAAGATACCAGTCGCTTACACTGGAAAGCGAAGCTTACCATGTGGCTTTGCGACTTATGGTTACTTGTTTGTATAAGTGAGGATTCTCCACGTCTTAAAGCAAGGATGGCCACACCTCAAAACATCATGACAATTACGCGCCATTAGAGAAGCAGATAAATGGACTCTTACAAGTTCCTTTCATCATCTGCGACGAGTGCCTTTTGAGTTGGGCTCTATCGGCTTGTTCATTCGTTTATACGGCGCTTATACACCACTCAAACCCCCCCACCCAACTCTCGTATATATCCGGCTGAAGCCTCAACTCACCACCCCCAACCTCCCCTCTTACACAAAACATTCAACCCCCATTCAATCCTTTCGGCATGGCCCAAACAGACCAAATCCACAAAGACGCATCCCTCGTCTACAACTACCACCGCATGAACCTGCCCCTCCTCCGCCCCGCCGACGCAATCTTCTGCCTCTGCAGCCTCGACGTCCGCGTCGCCGCCCACGCCGCCCGGCTCTACCTCGACGGCGTCGCGCCCTGCCTCATCTTCTCCGGCGACTCCGGCATCCTCACGGAGGGTCTCTTCAGCGAGCCCGAGGCCGTCGTCTTCGCCGCCGTCGCGCGCGGCATGGGCGTGCCCGAGGCCAGCATCATCGTCGAGCCCCGCGCGCGCAACACGGGCGAGAACGTGCGCTTCACGTACGACCTGCTGCGCGAGAGGGGCCTGCTGGGCGGGTTGAGGCGCTTGGTGCTCGTGCAGAAGCCGTACATGGAGCGGCGCACGTACGCGACGTTTCGGAAGCAGTGGCCGGATGCGGGGACGCTGTTTACCGTGTCTTCGCCGGCGTTGAGCTTTGACGAGTATCCTGATGCGAGCAATCCGAGGGAGCTGGTGACGAGCATCATGGTGGGGGATTTGGTGAGGATTAGGGAGTATCCTGCCAAAGGGTATCAGATCGAGCAGGAGATTCCCGAGGAGGTGTGGGAGGCGGGGAGGAGGCTTGTGGAGGCGGGCTTCGATAAGCATTTGCCTTGAGCCCGGTTGTGAGTGCTATAGAGAGACGGGTCCTTGTATATAGAACTGGATGGGAAGAATAACGGATAGATACAGATAGGTCAGTTGTCAACCTTCTTCTTCACGTCCTCGGTAGCCTTCTCCGACGCAGCCTTCAGAAACCCGCGGAAGCTTTCAAAGGCCGTCTCATCGTGTCCTTCCAGCCACCGCGCCTCCACAGAAACATGCTCTCTCGAAACCCTCACGGCCACGCGAAAGCCAAACGTGCACATCTGCTCCGACGTCGCCTTCTCTTCGCCCTTGCCCTGCTCGCCCGCCTCCGCCTCGCGCTTCTTCCGCCGCCGCCACGCCCGGGCCCATACCTTGTCCACCGCCCTCCCGACCCCCTGAAGCTTCTCTCTGTCCCACTCCCAGGACATCAGGTCAAGCGCCGCAATGGCGCTGCTCAACGTCTCCGCGAAGCCCCCGATGTTTTCGCAGAGCGGCATCTGGAATGCCACATATTCCGTAATGGCCGGCAGGATCATCCCCTTGGACAAGGCTGCCTTGGTCCCTCTCGCGACGCTCTGTGCGGGACGCAAGGGCCGGAAGCTCCATCCGATTGCCCACCGCCTCGTCTTGTTGCCCTGCTGAAACTCGGTAAGGGCGTAGTTGTCGATCTTGTGCTCCCTCAGCCTGTCCACTATGCGCGTGAGGCTGGACAAGAAGCCCACCATGGCGGTATACCATCGCACGCGCTCGCGCAGCACGAGGGACTCTTGGAAGATGCGGTCGACGAAGCCCACCTCTCCGCCCGGCGTCACCATCTCGACCTTGGCGCCTGTGCATGCGGTGAATGGCGGGCGAGACTTTTCTTCTGCGCTCTTGACCATTGCCTCTTCGGATTCGTAAAAGGGGGGGTTTGTCATGGTGAAGTCGAGGGAGTCCAGTTTGATGTCGTCCAGCGGGATGAGAGCGTCGTCGAGCTTGCGGCCGATGACTTGGATTCGGCTTTCGAGGCCGTTGAGCTTGATATTCTTTCTCGCCCATTCCAAGCTTTTGTCGTCAATGTCTTTCACACTTGTTAGTATAAGCCCTGTAGAGGAGAGCTTGCATAAGGAAAGAAGCGAGGAACCCACCAGTTGCGATGAATGACCACGGGCGCTGGACACATCCGAGCAGCGGGTATATGCAGCTCGCTCCGGTGCCGATATCCAGCCCGACGGCTTTCCCACCAGGCTCGTCGTACGATGTCGTGTCCAACAGGTCCTTGAGCCACAGGATGTAATTGTGTCTATTTGCCACCTGGTTTCTCCCATCAGCCTCGTTTCTCACAAAAATTGGACGCTCTACTCACCGGAGGACATAGTCGATCCTCTGGCAACTCTATCCGCAGATCAAAGTCCACTTTGAGAAGAGTCTTGGTCAGCTGCATGACGGATTTGGGATCGTTGAAGTCGAGCTCTCGTCCCTTGACGCTATTCTTTTTATGTTAGCAATGGGCTCTGGAGCTGCGGGAAAGGACACAACAAACACGGCTGCAAAATCTGGATCCACGAGAGCTATCGCCTTGAAGTCGGGCGCTTTCGTGTACAGATTGCGGAAATAAGCATCTCTCGATTCCTTGGCCAGCGGTCGATGGGATCCCGTGCCAGCTTTGGCGCGAGGCGGAGGCGGATGCGGAGGGCGGCCCGATGCATTCTTATCAACATCCATTATGGTAGTAAGCTTAGACACTTGACGGACTTTGAATCTTCATCTGTAACTCAGCAGTGACAGAGGATGAAGAAGAAGAAAAAGGCATTAAATGGTAACAAACTATAAAAGCGGTATGAAGGAATATAAAAAGAGAAACTCGAGTAGCCCAAACCGGGTTGCGCTTTGTGCACACGCTTCGTTACAATCATGCACCTTTAGTAGGATATGTCTCGTCATCATCACTCTCGCAGCCAATTCACCCCCTTGAGTCGGCTCTGCTGCTTCACTCCGACTTCACCACAGAATCACCCGCCATCTCCATCCCTCAAGCGTCTTCAGGTCCCGCTCTTCAATCTCCTGGCTGCTGTACTCGAGGCGCTGCGACAGCTTCTTGAGGCGCTTCTGCACCGTCTTGGCCACCCGCAGCGTCACCTCGTTCTGGAACACGTACAGGACGGAAAAGACGAAGAAGGCAATGCTGGCCAGGTGGCCGTGGCCGAGCACCGAGTCCTTGATCCGCTGCAGGAGGCCCTTTGACTTGCGGAACGCGTACTCGGTGTTGTTGGATGAGACCAGCGAATCTGCGTCTGTGCCGCGCCGGAACAGCTTGCGCACGGCAGGGATGAAGGTTGCGCTGATGGTGTTTCATTTTTTAGTCTATAAACTCACACAAAAGAGAAGACGGAAGAGGAGATGGGACAACGGCAAGGGTCTTACAGGATTCCTCCAAACAGCCATCGTCGCCAGCGGTGATTCTTGGCGTTCTTGACCATCCGGCGGACCTCGTCCTGCAGCGTCCGCAGCTCGCCGATCAGGACGCCCGTCTGGCTGCGGATCTGCCACTCCAGGTCCACGGCCTGCGACGAGTAGCCAAAGGCGCGGCGCTGGTTCTGCAGGTAGATGAGGTGCTTGAGGTTGCGCTGGCAGCTGGCCTTGACGTCCTCCATGCCCAGCCCCTGGGGCACCGCGGGCCTGTACGGCGACTGCAGCTGCTGCATCGGCCGCTGGGCCGGGTACTGGTGGTACTCATACGGCCGCGGCGGGAAGTCGTGCGCCTTGGGATAGTCGCTGGCGGCGGCCTTGGGGTAGTCATTGGGCTTGGGCGGGAAGTCGCTGGCCTTGAACTCGGCGGAGCGCGAGACGGGCGTCGCCCTGGGGAGGTCCACGCCGGAGCCCGAGTGGTTCATCTGCTGCTGGTCCATGGCCGGTCGCATGGGCAGCGTCGTTGGCGGCGCCGTCGTGATGCCAAAGGGTCTACTGGACACGGGCGAGTCAATGGGTTGCGGGTCGAGCTCCTTTAAGGGCGTGTTGGGATCCATGGCTGGCAACGGGAGGGGGTTTTATGTCACGCAGAAGCGGAGGAGGACACAGGAAGACGTCAAAAAAGTCACGGCTTGGGGAGATGTGGGCTCGTTCAGAGCTTCAGCGTCCTTGGGGAGAGGATCTGGCGAGGGCCCGTTTGGAGGTGGCTGGTAATCATAAGGCGGAGGACGCAGAGGGCCAAGGGCGGAGGACGGAGTATTGCATGCTGCGATTTTATTTCGTTACCCAGCTGGACACGGACCCGACCAAGCTGAGGCGGGTAAGAGTGGGGGGTTTTGCATCATCCCGTGTAGCTGTTATGCAATGCGCGAGGCGGCAATTCATCTATGCGTATAGACGGGTATGCTGTCATTGTGGCTGACAGCTGTGTGGCAGCTCACGATTTGAAGCTAAAGCTGAAGCTGATGGATCGGTAGATGTACAAGTAGTATGCTCGATGATCATCCTCCATTAAGTCGATCCAACTCTCCATTATACGCACATCAAGTCGATGTTGAAGATGGCACGATTCGCGATATCCACCTCAGCGACTCCATACACGAGCACCGCCTCACCCTGAACGAGGCCTCACCGACATGTGGGTGTAAGTGCATTCCCACATCTCCTTGCCTGCTTTACCCCTAAACCCCTTTGTTCCTGAAGTATTTTTGACTTGTTTGTTTTCAGGAGCCAGTAGATCGCTAAAGAAGGCGAGCTCTTTCTTAAAAGACAACTCAGAATGCAACGGACTACCTCGGTAGGCAGTCTGTGTTCTCGTATTCAGGTGCGCCATGGCCACAGAGCATTACCCATGTCTTCAACTCTTGGATTGGCCCATTATAACCAATTGCAACAAAGACATATAGCAATTATCAAAGTAAATGTCGTTATATCAACACTCTTCGAGGCGCCCACTGACGACACGAACCAACTCATACGAGAAACTCGCCTTTAACAGGGTAGGTACATAGTCGGACATAGGCCAGATTCCTCTTCAGCTCAGCCCCTTCAGCTCAACCGGACCAAACCAAAGCGGAACCCTCATTGGCAGCTCAACAATACAAGCATCTTTTCGTGCCCGTAAAGCCACTTCTCAAGCTCCCCGTAACACAGCCCGTTGTATCATGCTACAATCACGCATCCAGCCCCCCTTGTCAAGCTACATACTGGCACCTCTCGCTCAGCCACATCTCAACTATCACCGCGTCATGTCCAATATCGCCGAATAAGAGACGACGTGGCCCATTGCAATCTCGGCGAATCAGAGAAAGCACAGACATGGAGATTGAAAGTAGGCATCGAGTTTGTGGCGACTTCGATATGCACTTACACGCTGCTGCTGCCCCGCGTCTGCCTGCTGCAGCCTATTTGCTAGGCGCATGAGGATGTGCTTTTAGCTTCGAGCCAGCTTTCTTCTTATTGGCGTGGGAGATGCGAATGGATGGATGGATTGAGTGGTGCTGCGGCTGGGAAGAGCTTAAGCTTAACGTATGATCTCTTGGCAGATACCTACGTGTGTCAGTGGCATATATAAAGAGGCCGTCGTCTTGTCTTTTGCTTCCGTTGACTTTTGACTAGACAAGCTCGTAACCATTGTCGTCGCCAACTACTGCTGTGCAAGACATCTCATCTTGGAGTCACTTTGCAGCAATTCAGCTGTCACTGGCGGACATACTTGCAAGTGTCATTTCCACAGCCAAGTGTCCAACCGAACAAATCGCCAAAATGGGCGTCTCCGCCATCAGCGACCTGGAGACAGTCCACAAAGTTGAGTACGTTGTCAGCGACCTAAACACCTCCTCAGTCACCCTCTTTCCCTCCAGAGCTCAGGTACACCGAGAAATCAAAGGCATCCAACTCAAGGTAAGCCACACCATCTCACCAACATCCATCACCAAGCTCTGATCCGCTAACTATCGTCACAGCGAGGCACCAACGAAGTCACCATCGTCGGCCTCAGCCAGACCGCCGACCCCGACTCCATCAGAGTCGAGAGCAACGGCACCGCCACAGTGACCAACCTGGAAGTCGAATCGGTGCCCAACCGCCAGCGCTTCGACGAAGTCTATCCCGAGTCTGAATCGGAATCCGAGTCCGAGTCCGACGACGACGACCACGAATCATCCGACGATGAGGTCACGACAGAGGATGCGGAACTGGCTTATGCTCGGGGGGAGCTTGAAGGGTTTAGAGAGGAGCTGGCGACTGTCACGGATGACATCGGCAATGCGCAGAAGCGGCTGTATCTGCTGGAGCAAGTGCACAGTCTCAATGAGCGCAAGAACAATGACTTTATACAAGCCACCCTCGAGCAGTACAAGGAGGAGCGTTCAAAGGCCTTTCAAGATCTGAGCCGAAGCCTAAGCCTGCAGAAGAAATGCACCAAGCTCGTGGAACAGGCCGAGAAGAAGGTCAGCAAGCTACAGCGTGCGGAGGACAAGCGGAATGCAAAGGAGAACAAGGCAAAAGCACGAGCGAGGAAGGAAAAGCAAAAGAAGAAGGCCCTCAAGGAGAGGCTCAAGGCCGAGGCCAGGCGAGAGCGCCAGCGCCTGCGCGAAGAGCAGCAGGACTTCTGGCCGCTCGAGGTCTTGAGCGTGCGCATCACGCTCGAGGTCGTCGCCATGACGCCCATGACCTCGCGCCGCGGCTCCACGTCCAGCGACGCCGACGTTGTCCAGATCCCGGACGCCCCAGCCGAAGGCGACGGAGACGACGCTGGTCCAGTCGAGTGCAATCTCGCCTTCTCCTACGTGACATCGTCGGCGTACTGGACGCCGAGCTACGATCTCCAGCTGTCGACGACAAACGCCTCCGCGTCGCTCTACTTTGACGCCATGCTCACCAACCAGACCAGCGAGTCGTGGAAGAGCTGCAAGGTGACGCTGTCGACGTCGCAGGCGACCTTCTCCGGGCTGTACGACACGATCCCCAAGCTGAACCCCTGGCGCATCAAGCTCGCGTCCCGGGGCCAGCGCTTCTCCATGAGCAGCGACATCACGCGCAGCGCCGAGGAGGTTTCGTATGCGATGAGCAGCGTCCATCACGCGCCGATGCTGCTCCATCAGGACAACGCCAGGCGGAAGAAGATGGTGAGAACAACTGCACTGAGCTCTGCCGTCCCGCCTCCGCCACCTCCTCTTGCCGCTCCGATGGCAGCGCCCCGATCCGGCGGCCTCTTCGGCTCTTCCGCCGCACCTCCTCCCGGCGCCGCTCCAACGGCAGCGCCCACGAGAGGCGGCCTATTTGGCTCCCAGTCTTCCGCCCCTCCGCCAGCACCGGGAGCATCGGCCTTTGGCGGCCTGTTTGGCTCTTCCGCTGGGCCTTTCGGATCTGCCGCCCCGGCTTCTGCTAACTCCATCGCAGCGCAATACCAGCAAGCTCAGCAGCAGCAAGCCCAGCAGCAGCAAGCCCAGCAGCAGCAGCAGCAGCAGCAGCAGGCTCTGCAATCAGAGAACGTGCTCAACGACTTCGACTTTGACGCCTTCCTCAACGACGGCGCCCAGCCCAACGACGGCTACGACGCCTCGCTGGTGGAGGAGACGGGCCTCACGACGACATACGACCTGCCCGGCCTCAAGACGCTCGTGCCCAAGAACAACGGCTCCAAGCAGCGCGTGGCGCGCATCCCCTTCTCCAACGTCGCCTTCAGCCACACCGTCGTGCCCAAGTACAAGCCCGTGGCGTACCTCAAGGCGAAGCTCAAGAACGGCAGCAAGATGGCCCTGCTCAAGGGCGGCGCCAGCCTGACGCTCGACGGCACCTTTCTGGGCAAGACGTCCCTGCCGCGGTGCAGCTCGGGCGAGTCCTTCAGCCTCAGCCTGGGCGTGGACCCCGCCATCAAGGTGACGTACTCCAAGCCCGAGGTCCGGCGGACGACGGCGGGCCTGTTTGGCAACCAGGACAGCTCGGTGTACGTGCGGGCGATGACGCTGCACAACACGAGGGCCGTCGGGGGCAGGGCCGTGGCTCTGCTGGTGCTGGATCAGGTGCCCGTTTCGGAGGACGAGAAGCTGCGCGTCGAGGTGTCGTATCCGAGGGGCTTGACGGCGGATGGCACGGGCGTTGCCTGTGGTGAGGCTGGCAAGGAGGGCAAGGATGAGGGTTGGGGGAAGGCTGTGGCGAGGCTGAAGAAGGAAGGGCTGGTGAGCTGGGATGTGACCTTGAATGCGGGCAAGACGGTCAAGTTGTCGTTGGAGTATGTTGTTTCTCTGCCCAGTGGGGAGACGGCGCATCAGGTTTGACTGGGATGGAGATGAATATGAATCTACCCTGCACGAACCGCTGGTGGCACCCAGTCATTGCGGTTTCCAGACGAGCTCGGCTTTCTCGCGATGTGACCCGGGCGTAGTAGCAATGTATGTAGCTCTGACTATCGCTCCGTCAGAGCGCCGGTATATCTTGCATACTTTGCATCATGGTATAATAGAACATTTCGAATGCAGGGGTGTTTCAATCCAAGACCGGATATGTCTCTAGACCTGTCGCCTTGGCAGCTCGTACTGCGTCCGCGGAGTTACACAGCTCGAACTTTGTAAATGAGCTGCTTGTCTCACACGGAGATGAAAGTCAAGGTGCTGAAATTGCAAGTCATTGTCTGAGAATGAGCTGTACGAGCAACAATCTCAGAGACTATGACGCCGCTTGCCTTGAAAAGCCCTACAGCTTGTGTTCTTCAGCTTGCGTTGAGGAGGCAAAGTCATACGGCCCCTCTCCGAAAGCGATAAATGCAGCCCGAGAATAAGAGTAGTTTCGGAAGGAATTTGAATTGCACCCTTTTTTTTTCTCGTTTATACTGCAAAGCAGACACTCAAGCAGCACAATGCCGGGGGTATAGAAGATGCGGATCCTGGGGGGACGCGCTTGGGAGCCTGTTTGGATCTTTCAGATCTGCCACGGCCGCTTTTATCGCGTGCGGCTCGACACGGCGACGGCCCGAGTCGCGCTGCCTTAACCTAATCTTGTCGTAGCATTTCTGTTCCTCGATAAAGACTCTCAACTTTGTACAGAGCTTGTTGAGCCTTCAGGATAAGGTCGAACAAAGTGCAAGAATGCCATGAGTAGAAGGGGCTTTGGTCAGGCGAGAGTCGTCTGAAGACCGCGTGTTCGTCGCCGGCGTGGTATGATGCTGGTCCGTGTCGTCGTGAATCATCTGATGCAGAGAGACGTGGTGCGAGCATCAGACAATCTTCACAGCGCAAGTCAAAAGATCCTGTGCTTCGAATTACTCAAGACCATCTTCAACGGCTGTGCCAGCGACGTCCAGGGCAAAAAGGCAACAAGCCAAGACGATCATCTGAATCCGCAGGAGGGCGAAATGTGAACGCCGGAACCTGCATGATGCTAGCCGGCAATCTGTCGCGGGGATGAGCGGAAGCGGTAGCCGCACAGACTGACAGACTAACCCGTACATGTAATTTGCGACGGGGACACACAAACTGCATGTAAGTGCTGGGTATGGACATGCTCGCGGATCCGGGCTCGGGCTGCAAGTCGTTGCCAGAGAAAGCCATCACGATATGGGATCGGGTAATGGTTGATAATAGTGCGAGCCAATCCAGTTGCCCATTGCAAGTGAATGAGTGAATGAGCTGCATGGATATCCCATCGGTGAAGATGCAGGTTGCGCTTCCAGGTGCAGAGGACGGATCAATGACACCTGGGCGGAGCGACATGGGCCGTCGAGAATCCCAGCAACGCGCATGGCCATTGGACGCCCTCGCACAAAGAACCAACACCGGGACCGGCACCCTGAGCATGGTTCGAGGAGCTCGAGTCGAGGCGCCGCTGACCGACTGACAGACATCCACAGGCGGGACGAGGCGCGGGCCAGAAATTGGACACAATCATCGGAGCTCACGGCGGGCCCACCAAGTGCGTCGTGGGGAGGCGTCTTTCGCGTTCTGCCTGTTCCTGTACGACTGTTTGCCTTGGTTAGCCCCTAGAACAGAGTGCCGGAACATCGCCCATGTAGGCGGATTCTTTTCCATGTAAACAGATGGGCTGCTTATAATGGTGTCGAGTCTGAAAGCTGATGTCCCCCGGAGATAGCACGCACTCGCGGCCAACGAAGGTGCCGGACCAGATGCTGTTAGCCGGCGGCACAGCCCAGCCAACGGGTGTGATACAGGAGAGATCAGCGGCTGACGCCCAGCCGTTTTGTCCGTCCAAGGTCCTTGGTCCATGTGGCTCTCCATGTGCGGCTCGTCTGCTGGGGCCGCACGTTTTGTATGTACATGCTTCGCACCCGTCCTTGTAGGCATGCATTTCTTGCTTTTGTCGCCTCTGATCTGTCTTGGTTTGGGCCTTGCTTGATCTTGATGAGCTGCTGCAGGGTGACGACAATGGAGACGGCAAGACGGCCAGCACTAGACCAGCGAGAGAGCAGAGACGACGGACAGGAAACAGACAGGCCCAGGCTCATGGAGGGCGCGTCCCCAGTGGCTCGCTGGCGGCATCCGTCCGGCTGCGGACATGACGATGGAGCTGTTCCGTGGATAATCTAGGGTCCACCCCACCCGACTGGCGACACTTTGTCGCGCGCGCGTCCTGACTGGCCGCCTCCTTTTCCCCCTCTTCCCTCGGGGTTTATATCGCCCTCACGGCTTCGGCACGCAGGCCCGTGGACTTGGGACAGATGAATCAATAGCGAGCCTGCTCCTGACCGTCTGATCTGTTGTCTTCGCTGCTGTTCTGGTACTCGTATGCTCTGTTTGCTTCAGAAAGGCAAGGAAACAGAGGCGAAACGACTCGACACGCCCACGAGCCTCGGGGCCGGGGTCTGGATCTGGCTCTGTGTAACCGGGACGGCGCTACAGCCACCCACCTGCATATTCCGTACTAGCCGGCGCCAGACCGTGCTCCGAAAAGATAGAGCAACCTCCGTAGACGGTTGGGTTGGGCCTCGGTTTGTGCGCGTTGCCTCTGTCGCCTGTACAGGTACGAATCGGGGTCAAGTTTCTTTGCCAGTATGAAGTACATGTTAGTAGTAGGCGTGCGAGAGTGCGTAGGACGGCAGAAGCAGTCCCGGCATTTGCTCTCTGGAGCAGCGTGAGACTGCACCGGCGCTCGCCGGGGCCTATTTTCCCTTGCTCTCTCTCCCATCCTCCTGAGAGCGCCTCCGCCCTCCACTGAGCAAGCAAAAAGATGCCAGGCGCCATTTGCACGCGCGTGCCCGCCGAGTCTGCGCCGCCCTCGGAGAGCCACCGTATGTACAGTGAACATGGACTCGAGCAGAAGCAACTGGGGCCTGCCCGGTAAGAGGTACGAGGCTGCTGGCAACCAGTGGCGGTCGCACGAGCGCCGTGTGCGCAGATGATTCGGACGTGCAAAGTCGCAGGACTGGCCGATCTGGCGCTGCAACGCCAGCAGACAGCCGATGAGCCGCCTCTTCTTCTCCTTGCTATGTATTTGCGTCTCTCTCATGTGGGCGACTCAACAAAGGACAACAGAAGCAATCGGACGATGGAGCCTTTTCGGTTCCGGCGCGGCACACGGAGAGGCTTTTCCAGATGCACCACGCGGCGCGTCAGTCAGCCCATCTGCTGGGGGGGCCACGGCTGATTGATTGGCTGCATCGCGGCAGAGCTCGTCGCCATTGGCTCCCCGGATCAGAGTGGGCGCGGCCGGGCTTCTGGGAGGCAGGCAATCCGGCGCTTGGCTGGTGGTGAAATGAAGAGGGAAGATGGTCGGGGGGGCCTACATGTCGATGGGAATCTCGGGGGGATGGAAAGGGGGCGAGGCGGGTTCACTGGAGGGAAAGCTCGCCGGCAGAGTCGCACTGGTTCTGTGGTGCGGACGGGGCAGCGATTTGGCGCAAGCAGCGATTACCTGGATCCCGTAGAAGAGTAAGATTGCCGTTGAAGGCGGCATTCGATGCGTCTACAGATAATACATACTCGGACGCGTGTTGAATCCCCGGAGCCTGTCGTTGCGCCAAGTTGTGGTATGGGAGAAACCGAGGCTGCATCCCGGGCAAGAGACGTGATACGGGACGGGATCGAGTACACAGCAAGTACTCGCGCTGTACAACCAGAAACTTGGCGCCTGGATCGCGGAACGCGGACGGAGCTGGCGGACTGCCAACTTGCAGCCCACGCAGCACAAGCAGGACGAGGCACCGGCCAAGTACCCTCGCTGTACCGGGCACAAGCGCACGGCAAGGCGACAAAACTCCGACCTGCGTCATAGTGGGAATTTGGGGGACCATGGGCTGGCAGGCCGGAAGAGCGCGCGACAGCCTCGATTGGCCTTTCTCGGCTTTCCGCACCAGACGTCTCCTCTCTGTCGCTGCCACCCGGCGTTGGCCCAGGCCGCCTTCGCTCACAAGCTGCGTGCGCTCTTTTTTTGCCGCGCCGGGGGAGGAGCAGGACGGGAGGCCCCCGCGCGTTTCTGGCCAAGGCGGCGATGAGAATGGAGATGCAAGTATGAAGAACATGAAGAGAGAGTGCTGTAATCTGAAGCCGACTTCCATGATCCATCAGCAATTCCGGCTCCTGCGCCGAGCGCCCAGCCCTCGCTGGAGGCCCGCTGGAGGCTCGCTGCAACCGCTGCAAGACGCCGCCCGAGCAGCCCTGAGCACGTCGACAGCGCTCTCGAACCCTGTGGGTGGGGCGCCAGGCCGGCACGACAAGGCCTCAGGCCGATCCGCCCGTGGGGCCTCGCACGCTGTGGCCGCTGTGGCCGCTGCCCGCTGTCCGCTGAGACAACACCCGTCGACGCACGCTGCTGGCCACGCCCCCCGCCTTTATCCCCCCCCAAACGCCCTCGCGCCCCGTCTCCTGTTCCATCTCTTCCTCCCATCCCATACCTCACCTCGCCTCCTCTCTCCTCTCCCCCTTCCATCCCCCCGACTCAACCTGCGCTGCGCTGCGACTCCTTCCCGCGATCGCTTGTGCGTCCTCCGCGAGACCATCGACTCTGCAGTCTGCTGCTCAGCTTCGCGCAATCTCTGTTGAGCTGAGATCGAGTCGTGCGCGCGCACCGTCTCTGCTCCCGGACCTGCGGTGTTGCCATCTCCGGCCCTCTGTTCTCAGCTTCCCGTCACCCATCGCGGCGCCGACCGGGAATTCTTCTTGTTCTCTGTCCACGGCCACGCGCATCGCATCGCATCGCGCATCTGATCCCACTCCCTCAACCTCCTCTCCCTCTGCTCCCCGTCGCAGCCGCCTCTCGCCCAGCATGTCCTCCGGCGTGGTGCGCTCCACTGCCCTCAGAGCCGGCGGCGCCTGTGTGCGCTGCCGCA